TTCGGGTTCCAGACCGTTAGCGTACAAGGTTCGGCCTCATCTTTCGACATCACCCAGTTTCGGCCCAAAGGCCGAAACTTTCGGCCTCCTTAGTAATGTTTCGGCCAGATGGCCGAAACCACAATGTCAGAGTAATGTTTCGGAAACATTCCAGTGGCGAGTTGGAAAACTTTCGGGTTCCAGACCGTTAGCATACAAGGTTCGGCCTCATCTTTCGACCTCACCCAGTTTCGGCCCAAAGGCCGAAACTTTCGGCTGTATAGTAGAACGCGATGTCTTTGAACCGACTGCCGTTTGTGTAGACGATGACATATCTCACACAGGAATCTCCCAACCATGCTCTTGCTCTCACGAGTGTGCCCGTTTTGGTCGTGGGTCACCGTTCCTGGTTCTGCGAGAGTTTCTAAAGAATTGTGCCCAACAATTCTCCTTTGAAGCGACCCTCACTTCTCTCTAACATAGGTGATTCTTTCTCGAGTATCCCGCATACTCAAGAATCATTAAAGCATTAACATGCTAGCCTCTTGCGGGAGTCACTGTTTTAACGAGGAGTGGTAGGGAGTCCGAGACCCCCACAGTGACGCGCTCCGTTCCATAATTTAGTTGTCCCATTGAACCTAGGTGCCAGCTAGGTTGGGTATCCACTATAGAACTTTTTAGTCCAAGGGCATTAGACCCATTCCTCGTGTCAACTTCTCCACAACTTCTTTGCCTAACCCTTTGGTCAGCGGATCCGCTATATTGTCTTTTGACTTTACGTAGTCAATCGAGACAACACCAGTTGTGAGCAGTTGTCTAATGGTATTATGTCTCCGACGCACATGTCTAGACTTACCATTATACATATGACTCTGTACTCTCCCAATTGTGGTTTGACTATCGCAATGCACACATATTGGAGGTACCGGTCTTTCCCAATTAGGAATGTCCTCTATAAAATGGCGTAGCCATTCAGCCTCTTCACAACCTTTGTCCAAGGCTATCGACTCAGATTCCATCGTGGATCTAGCTATCACAGTTTGCATAGAGGATTTCCATGCAACGGCTGCATCGGCTAGTGTAAACACGTAGCCACTCGTGGACTTAGAGTCCTTAATATCAGATATCCAGTTCGCGTCGCTATACCCTTCAAGTACAGCGGGATATCTCCCGTAGTGCAGTCCAAGATCACGAGTATACCTCAAGTATCTCATAACCTTTACTATTGCCTTCCAGTGCATAGCACCGGGGTTACTCGTATATCTACTGAGTTTACTAACCGCATAGGCAATATCCGGCCTAGTACAGGTCATAAGATACATCAAACTACCAATAACCCGAGCATATTCCACTTGTGAAATACCTTCTCCGTGGTTCTTGGTCAGATGAATGTTTGTATCAAATGGTGTCCTAGCCACTTGACTATCATCCTTGTTAAATTTCTCAAGGATTTTGTTAATATAATGTGATTGGCTCAACACGAGACTATCAGGTCTTCTAATGATTCTAATCCCGAGGATTAAATCAGCCAAACCCATATCCTTCATGTCAAATCTCGCATTTAACATGTTCTCGGTAGACTTGATCATCCGATCATTACTACCAACGATGAGAATATCATCGACATATAAACAAAGAATGACGTAGCCGTCTATCGTTTCCTTAACGTAGACACATTTGTCACTTTCGTTTATTTTAAACCCGTTAGTTAACATCGCATGGTCAAACTTCTCGTGCCACTGCTTAGGCGCTTGTTTTAAACCATAGAGCGACTTAACCAATTTACACACTTTCCTTTCTTGGCCCGGAACCACGAACCCTTCGGGTTGTTCCATATAGATTTCCTCATCTAATTCGCCATTTAGGAAAGCGGTTTTCACATCCATTTGATGAACTTCCAAGTTCCACAGCGCGGCTATGGCATGTATCATCCTAATGGAGTTTATTCTCGTCACGGGAGAATACGTGTCGAAGTAATCGAGGCCCTCGCGTTGCCTGTAACCCTTGATTACAAGCCTAGCCTTATATTTCTCGATGGAACCATCAGGTTTCATCTTCCTTTTAAAGACCCATTTGGATCCTAAGGGTTTACTACCCAGAGGAAGATTAACCAGTTCCCAAGTGTGATTCTGTAGAATAGAATCCACTTCACTTTTTATAACCTCTTTCCACATTCGTCCTTCTGTAGAAGTCACAGCTTCTACATACGTTCGAGGCTCGTTCTCTATCAAACAAGATTGAAAATCGTGTTCATTTTCTAATAAACAAGTTAGAGTACCCGAATCATACTCTAACAAGTAAGTAAGAAAATCAGGACCGAATGATTTTCCAACTCTCGCCCGCTTACTACGTCTCGGCTCGAGCTCGGGTTCTTTCTCAGATTCCCCACTATCATTATCCATAGTTTCATCAAACGTTCGTTTTGACGTACTTGGTCCCTCGTTGGACCTACAAGGAAATATATTCTCGAAAAAATATGCATTCCTTGATTCTATTATCGTGTTCTCGTGTACGTCCGGATTATGGGACTCGTGTACTAAAAACCGATAAGCACTACTATTATGTGCATAGCCAATAAAGATACAGTCCACCGTCTTAGGATCTATCTTTACTTTCTTAGGTGTTGGCACCAAAACTTTGGCAAGACACCCCCACACTTTCAGGTACTGGTAGGAAGGTTTCCTACCGTTCCATAGCTCATAAGGCGTCTTATCGAGCTTCTTGCGGGGTACCTTATTCAAAAGGTAATTACTTGTCAAAATCGCCTCACCCCAAGCATCTTGAGGTAGGCCCGAACTTATAAGCATCGCATTCATCATATCTTTCAATGTACGATTCTTTCGTTCGGCAACACCGTTCGATTGAGGTGAATAAGGTGCAGTACGCTCCTGTATTATACCTACACTCGCACAGAAGTCACCAATAGGTGCTTCGTACTCACCACCTCGATCGCTTCTAACCTTCTTAATTCTCCGATTAAGTTGGTTTTCCATTCATTCTTATAAAGAACGAATTTATCAACGGCTTCATCTTTGCTTTTAAGCAAATACACATAGCAGTATCGTGTGCTATCGTCGATAAATGTGATAAAATACTTATTACCACCTCTCGTTTAATCGATCTAAAATCACACAAATCACTATGGATTAATTCTAGTGGTTCAGTTTCCCTTTCAACCGATTTGAAAGGTACTTTCGTTAGTTTTGCCTCAACACAAATTTCACATTTGTTATTTGTGTCAATTTGAAAGTTAGGAATATGGTCCATGCTAATTAATCTACGCATAGAATTAAAATTAACATGATCTAGTCTACCATGCCACAAACTGGAAGACTCAAGCAAGTAAACAGAATTAACTTTGCTTTTATTGATAACAGGAATTACATTGAGCTTAAAGAGCCCATCAGTTACATATCCTTTACCAACAAACATCCCTAACTTGGACAAAACTACTTGAGCACCATGCGATTTAAAGCTATTTTTTTAAAGCTTTTTTTTTCAACAATAATTAAATGATAATTTTGAAATTTTATAAACATATAATTTTTTTATTAAAAAGGCATTTTAGAATAACGTTGGGGTAGATGCCCATTCAAATTTTGGGCAATCATTATTGTGTAGACGATAGTCCACACAAGCTGTGTAGACCATATTTTCTATAGTGTAAAATAATGTACATTCAGTACAAAAATAAAGTAGTTTTAGTATATTAAAAATGTACATTGTATTAATGGGATATACATTATTTGTATACTGAGTGTACATTATATTGTATAATGTATATTTAGTACATTAAAATGTACTTTTTATTATGGTCCACACAGCACTATGTGGACCATAATTTGCCAACTTCGGGTCCTATATGAAGTGTAATTATAAACTAATTCAATGTTTGCTAATATATATCTATTAACTGAGATAAGTATATTAAATCGTTATAATTTTTAAGTAGATTTAAAATTAATAAATAATTTTGAAGTTTGGATTCAAATCTTTGTATATGCAAGTATTTTTTTTAACTTCATCAAAAAATTTAAAAAATCAAATTAGGAGCTCCCTTTCAACGGTGGCACCCAGAACGGGTGCCCATCTCGCTCGCCCTCAGGCTAGCCCTGCAATTACTCAATTATTTAATTATTGGGGAGTATTTAATTTTTAACTTTAATAAAAAAAAAAAAAAAAAAAAAAAAAAAAAAAAAAAAGTAGACGTGACTGTGGCCCATTAACAGCTGGAGAATGGCTTGTCTATCCCATACATTTTAGCCAGCATTTAGTGGTTGCTCTCAGGACCACCTAATGCTTGCCACATAACTTTCTACACGTGAGTCTCTATGTATTTATTATTTCATTTATTATTGTTATTATTACCCCTTTTTTTTTTCTTTTTATATTCAGGTCAAATATTTTATGATATATTCAGTAATAATATTAAGCTTTTAAATAATATTTTATTAACCAATTATTAACTCCTTTATGAAGATAGTTCTCATAACATCTTTCACTCCATTAACAAGATTCCCTGCCTTCTTAATTAAAACTTAAAAAATTTCACTTGCCATTATATATCACTTATTATGTTGCACTGAAGTTGTCAATCATTGGTATTTTTAAAACGTTTTCTCTCGTAAATTTATGAAAATTTTGAAAAACATTCAAAAGTCATTTAACTTAATTTAAAAAAATTTTAAAAATACTTTTTTGTCTACAAAGAAACTGGTAAAAAATTAATATTTAAACTAAAATATTTACAAACAAGCTCTTATATATATATTTTTTCGCATGTGTTTTACGTTTCGTGTTTTCTCATTTCCTCATTTCCTGTTTCCATGAAGCCTAGTCCATCACCTATTCTACTTTCAATTATAAACTGAGAATCTAGTTATGGTTTGACATAATGCTTTTTTTGATAATTAAAAATTGAAACAATAATCTCTCGAGAAAGACAACGTCTATAAGTTATTTGGGCTTTGAAAACTTAGATATTACAACGTATATAATGCACATTGGACAGGATTAATATATTGTGGCATAATCATATATTACTATTTATATATATTATATATTAATATGTAGAAATAATAGGCAAAGCATTAATTGATTAACATTACAAATGTAACTTGGAAAAGGGTAAATTGGATGAGTTTATGAGGAGGACAAATAGGTCAAACCAGTGGTTAATCTTTTTTGTAAACGCGCCTGGGTCGACCCGAATTAAGAAAAACGGGGCATGGATGGGTGGCGGGTTGGAGTTTAATTAATCAGCAACTGCCCAAGTCATATCGTTTTCGAAGATCCAATGGCACACCTCGATTTTGCCCGGACCCGACCCGAGTGCGATGAAGGCTCCGTGGGTGGAGCTCCAGGACGAGGTGTCAATATGACAGATGGCGACGCCGTGGTTGATTTTGGATTTGGATTTCGGGTCCAAAAGATCCGCCTCGTAGACCCGGACTTTGGGGACCGAATGGCAGTAATACACTAGGTACGGGAACAGGCTTTGGTGACAAGACACCGACTTGGTGACTTTCCCACCGTTGATTCCTTTGATCGATCCGATCATGATGTCCTTCGTTGACCCCTCGGTGTTCTCCGTGGTGCGAACGACGACGTTTCGGCCGAGGACGCTGGTGGCGAAGTCGATCATGTCCTCCACGGAGGTGACGCACCGCTTGGTCTCGCCGCGGCTCGGGGCGCGTTCACACTCGCTCAGCGCGTCGGCTAGCATCTTAGCCATGGTGGAGTCGTCGGCGGCGTGGAACAGCTGCTTCAGCGCGCCGATCTTGGAGGTGGAGAAGGGCAGCTTGGAGGCGATCACGCGGGGCAAAAACGACCTTTTGGGCATCCTATCCTTAATGTCCGGCATTGGCATAATGGTCCCACTCTTCAACATCTTCTCACGGAAGAACTTTCCCGGCTCCACCCACCGGTTTTTTACCTTTTCGTATCAATATAAAAAAGCTTTATATTAGCCACAAAATATTAAACTATTCTCAATTTGTAACACATAATTAAGATCTTAAAATAAAAATTTTTAAAACATTTTACATTTTTATCCTCTACTTATACACGTAATAAATACTTATTCTCTAAACTATATGCATGTCTATAACTCTTAAATTATATATAGAATGATGTTTTTAGTTATTGAAAGATCAAATCAGCTCATTTATTAGGTGATAAATCAGTGGTTGTAATAGTCTTCAATAGACTAAAATAATCATTTAGTGCATAACTTAGGAGTTTAAATGATAGCACATGATACTAAATTTGTATTCGGGGCACAACTAAATGACCAAAAATGTAATTTTTGTTATAAAATGTAAGAAAATTGAACACCACCCACCGGTTTATTACCTTTTCGCCCCTGGCCTTTGCCTCCGCCGCGAGCGACGCCGCCACCGCCGAGCTCTCGTTTATGTAGTTGGAGAAGGAGACCCCGGTTTTGGCGTAGTCCTTGAAGGTGTTATTCACGCCGTAGCCGGTGAAGGTGGTTTTCTCGTTCCCACTGTACCCTGTGAATTTATCGGTCCCTTCGTTGAAAGATTTGCCGTAATTTTGGAAATTAGCGACGGCGGCGCTGGAACTCTTGCCGTAGGACTGGAAAGAATCGTCTCCCACATTGGATTGATCCCTGTAGCCCTTGAACGTCTCGACGGCGGCGTTGCCGCCGGTGCCGTAAGTCCTGAAGTTGTTCTCCGGGACATTGCCGTTGAAGCCGTAGGAGGAAAAGGTGTCATTGGCTCCGTTCGCCGTCTGGCCGTAGTTGGAGAACGTTGAGCCTATCACATTTGAGTTGCTTCCATAGCCGCTGAACCCATTGGTAGCTCCATTGCCGTTTTTGCCGTAGCTCGTGAACCCTTGGTCGCCGGCGTTGGCATTGTCGGAATACGACGCGAATCCCTGCTCCCGGCCGTTGGCGGCGTCGGAATAGGAGGTGAATCGCATATCTGGGACATTGACTTCAGGCCCATAGTTAGAGAACTTGCCTTTGCCGCCGGTGGAGCTCGTGCCGTAGGTGTTGAAGCTCTGGTCAACCACGTTGCCGTTGGGGGCATAATTGGAAAACCTATCCTCGTGTCCGACCGAGTCGCGGCTGTATCGGCGGAACGAGTCGACCGGAATATTCTCGTTATCCGTGTAATTCTTGAACGAATCGACCCCTCCGGCACGGTCGGTGCCGTAATTGGTGAAATTCTTGAAAGAATAGGACGCGAAATTGACGTTCCCGGCGTGCTTCTCGAGGCTGGGGGACAAATCCGGGAAGCAGAGCAGATTCGCCGACGAGCAAAACCCGGGGAGCTGCGTCGACAGCGACTCCCCCCCGTCCGCCGCCATCTTCGAATATCCGGCGTACTGGGCGGCGTTCAACGGCGACGCCTTGTTTAGCAGAAACCACGGCTTCGCCAAGTCATTCGAAATCTGCTTCTTCCAGTAACGAATCAGGTAAGCTTTGGGCGTGAAGGGATTCGACAACTCGCCGGAATCCTCCCCACCCATAATCCCAATCACCTACATTCAATTCACCGCAAACCCAAATCAGAAAACACAAAATTTAAGAAAAAAAAAATTATCAAAATCAAGAACATTGCCAAACCACACTTACATTGAAAGATGAAGCCAAGAAGAAGAGGAGGAAGAGAGAGAGAGGATGCATTTTAGTTTACTTGAGAGTGAGGAAGCTCTGCTAGTGGGCTGCGCTGCTTTGGTTTGGAAGCACAAATTTTATAGTGAGAGTTTTGAGGGCAAAGAGCAAACAGTTGAGATGTGGACAGGGAAGGTGGTGAGGGCCAGTGGGGTATATATTGTATGTTATATACACTTATATGGGGGTGAGGGCCAGTGGGGTATGTTATATGTTATATATACACTTATACGTATTCCTATTAAATTACTTCAAATTCTACAATTGTGTGAGAGAATAGGGCTTTTTGGTCTCTTTAAATTCAATTTTGTAACATCATTTATAGTTTTGAAATATTAAAGTGTTGGGGTAAGAAATATTAAAGTGTACTAGTCTTGTTACTTTTAATTTGAGAATGAACACATTTAATCCGTACATGAGGAGGACACAATGAGCATAAAATATAATATTAAAGCATATTTATATTGTCAGAAAACAGTTTTTTTTTTTTTTTGTTCATTGAAATCGGAAAATTATACTTTTTTCTGTTTAGTTCATTTTCTAAAAGTAATAGAAATATATTACAAAGTTATTTATTATAAACTATTAATTGTTTTACTGATGATAATAATCATACATGATTGTCTTTGTTAAATGTTTTGAGATAAAGATGTTTGAGTGTAAATATTAAAATGTAGTGTTATTACTTTTAATTTGAGACAAAACGCATTTAATTTGTACACCAAAAGGACATAAATGAGTATAAAATATTAAAATATATTTTAGTGAAAGATTAAATTTTTAATTGAGCCGATGAAATATATTTTTCAATGAAAGAAATTAGATATTTAGGACAAGTTGCTGATTAAATCAAATGGTCGACCCCCTTTATGGCCTCTTGGTGACGTATTTATACTCAGGTTGTGCATTGTCACTTTTCCTTAGGCCAATGAGGGTCTTGTATTATTGGGTGGCAAAATCCTCCTACTCCACCTTCTCTGTGTATTGTTCTTGTGTGTTAGGACTCGTTTTTAGGGCGCATTGTTACTTCTCCATTGGATCACATATTTGCGTGTTCACATTTGTCCTCTAATGTCCAACCAAATTTCTGTCGCTGGTCCAAGATCTCAACGTAAAGGGTTAGACCTTTATTGACTGGGCTTTTCTCGCGCTAGAATTCTAGAGGGCTGAAGAGGGGTATGGATTTTACCTATATACTCCAACATTATGGAATTGAGTTTGTTATCTTTGTATAAATGTAGAATTTATGTTTTTGAAGATGATTGTCGAGCTTTGAAATATAGAAGTTTTAAGGAAGTTTTGAACTACTCTTTTATTTCTTTCTCTAATTTTTCATTTTCTATTCTTCTTTCTTATTTTTTAAATATATAAGTAAATATATTCACTATTTTTATTTCTCTAATTTTCTATTTCTCAAAATATAAAATCTCTAATTAATTAATTAATACACACCGTTTCTTTCTTTCTTTTTTCTCCTAGCTTTTTTTCGTTGGAATTCAGCCATTCAGGTTTGTGTATGGTTAGCACTGCTTTTGCTTTTTCTAAAATCTTTTTGGTTAAGTATGTTTGGTTTTGTGCGCTTTCTTATATAATTAGAATATTATTTGAGTAACTCATTGAGTCGCTGTGATTTACATCCTCCCACATGCTCTGTCGAGTCGGAGTGTAGGACCATTAGGATTAGAGATTCAGTCTTTTGGGTAAGAATATCATTTGAGTGTCGTGGGAATATATTACTTTTACAAGATTTAGTAATTCTTTTAGAAGTTTCTTTGGCCCCCCGGCCCTCCCCCAAATTTATAATTTTATCCTCATATCAACTCCTTTCACACTAGTATTTCTGCCTAATATTATTAACCAATTCAATTTATAAAAATTATTATGCAAAATTCACTATGCCATACACACATCAAATCACTTAAATCCAAAGAATTGAAATGATGAATTTTAATAAATGTGAATTAATATGCGAAACATTATAACTAGTAGTAAAGGCGTAACTTTATACTTGTGTCAGCACATTTCAACCTCAACCGACCTACTTTAATATCAATAATCAGAATCAAGCATTTACAACTACATTGAAAGCAATAGCTAATAGCGAAAACATAATTTTATTTTCTTATATGAGTTAATTCTATTTTTTGTCCTAGATTTATAGGTGACAGTTTACTTTAAGTCATTTTTTATTAGAACATCATCATTTTCTCCTAGTATTATTGTGACATGACCATTTTTAGTCCTACATCAACAAAATCGTTGAAATATCGTTAAATACAAAGACATTTCAATTTTTTTTATATACAAAATAGATTGAACCGCTATATTTTTTATGTTTATTTAAAAAAAAATCATAAATGAAGACCGAAATGCCCTTGTATTTAATGATATTTAAAATGTTTTGTTGATAAAGGATAAAAAAATTGTCATGCCATATTGCCACAATAATACTAGGACCTAAAGTGAATATTTTAATAAAAAAGGATTTAAAGTAACCGCCACCTATAAATTTAGAACCAAAAATGAAATTAACTATTTCTTATATTTTTATAACAGTCAGCATTATGTTTCAATTGCAGGATGCTGAACTTGGCCTTCCAGGACTCCGCCCACAAACATTCCGAACTTAATTTCAAGTAGGATAAATCAAGAGTGGTGATTATCTTCATACATGCACTCCCCTTTTGCTTTGTTTTGTTCACTTCTTTTGCACTAGTTACCATAATAGTACATTAATAGGTAATATCATTCCTTTATGGTTGTTTGCTTGCTGAGGAAGCTTAATTAGCTTTTCTAAAGTGATTTATTCTAAAAACTATTAATGTATGGAACCCTATGCAGGCAAACCATACTATATATGCATGACACTAATCAACGTAACTACGTACGTGTAAATGGAAATTCTGTTGAAAATAATAAAGAGAGAAATATGTTTTCACTCTCAATCTCAACATCATAGGCAAAAGTTTAGGGGTTTGATTGTACATTAAAACTAGTGGCAGAATAAGAATAAGAGGCTTTGAAAAGACAACCTAAAGCCGTTACCTTTAATGTCTTTAGAGATTCTGTTTTTTTTTTTTTTTTTTTTTTTTTTTTAATATTATTTTAATATTATTTTATTTTATTTATTTATTTTAATACTTAGTGTTTTTCAATCTTTAATTTTGATTAAATTTTACTTAGAAGAATTTTTTGACATCAATTGTTTGTTCATAAGGTATCATATTTGTGTCAGGGCGTCAGGGTAAAGCCGCACAAATGAACTCAAAATTTCTGGTTAAGTTAGAAGAAATCAATTCTATATCATCTACATGTTATGGGTAAATTTCAAATATATTTAGTTTGAAAAAAGCATTCACAATAATATAATAGTATACACACTTTCTAATACTCTACTAAAGAAATAAAATTAAGAAGTTTAATATATCTATTGAATAATTAAGAATCAATAATGTTATTTTCAAAAAAAAAAAAAAGAATCAATAATGTTAAGTCTAAGACAATTAAAAAAAAATTGTAATCCTTTGCTATGATTAATTGTACATTTTATTAACTTTTTTTATAACCATAATATCTTTTATATTTTACCTCGATATTTTTTAAATTATTCTCATAAACATGTTAACGTGGTAACAATAGTCCAAAACAACTAATGCACTATCTTTCAAGCTAAGCAAGAAGGCAAATTAGGGAGTCAAATCTCTGCCTCATTTTATATATCTGTCTTACTTACTATTCATTTATCAAATCAAATTTTTCTTCTTTATTTATTTCTATTAGCATTTTTTATAATTTTTTTTGGTGTTTAATAGTACTTTTAATATAGTTTCTAAATATATAAAGTTTATAACTAATTCTAAACTTAATATTATAAAAAATTAAATTGTAAATAACTTCAGTCAAACCTTGTCAACTAAACCCGATACATCAAATGAGACGAAGGGAATAATATTTAATGCCTAAATGCCTAATTCATTGTATGCTTCCACCTTTATCCCATTAAACTTTTTTCTTTTAAAACCTTTTTTAAGGGATTGCAATTACTTCTATTCTCTAAATATTTAGTGATTTTATATGTTTGTATTAAGACAACAAAAATAAAATGTGATTTATTGCGGAATTCAACTAGAGTATCATAATCAAAATTGAATTTAGAATCAAATAATCAGTAATTGAAATGGATTTTAGCGAAAGTAGATTCATTATTTGGTCGTAAATGAAAAATTGAATTGGAATCATAATCAGAATCAAAATAAATAAATAAACATTATATATGTGTGACTTGAAAATAAGTCCCATTTTTTAAAAATTCATTTCCTTTCTCACTTTTCATTCCAAGAACCAAAAGTGAAATTTATTAAGGGAACGACTTTTTTCATTTCTTCTTGATGATGATAATAATAATAATAACAATAACAATAACAATAACAATAACAATAACAATAACAATAACAATAACAATAATAATAATAATAATAATAATAATAATAATAATAATAATAATAATAATAATAATAATACGGCAATTGGATTTGAATCTGATAGTAGATCGAGTTCAAAACCTATGAACGAAGTGCTCCTTTAATTTGTCGATTATCATAACATAGACTTTTATTCAATTGATCGAATTATTATATATTAATATTATTAAAAAATCAAAATGGTCCATACATAAAAAAAAAATTAAAAAAAAAAATCAATGTGGTAACAGAATAGTTATAATGTACATACATCAATAACTTTAACTGCCAATCAAGTTCAATGTATGTTATGAAAATATAATATGCATCATTAGAGCTGCATATTATAAGATTAAGTGGATTTACATATTTCAATGATATAATATCACTTTTTTCATTTTTAACTTATTGGACACTTTTCAACTGTGTTGCACATATTCGTATATCGATTACTCTTTGACAAGTTTCAAGCAAGACGTATTTTTATATATTATATGCTCAACACGTTCTTCATGTGTGCTTTTGACGGGCTCTAAGTAACACGTAGACCATATTATCTTTTTATCTGCCGATTACTTTTGACAGGGGTTTCAAACAACTAACACATGGGCCATAAT